GAGGAGATTGCTTTGGTCAGTTCCTAGGGTCAAGCCAGCATGGTCTAAGGACATTCATCCTATTTCCTTTACAAAGAACTTGCAATCTGTTCTTTCCGTATTCTAACTTACATCTCTGTCTTCTTTGTAAGGGTGTTCTCATCAAATAATGTCATCACAATTTCTTTGCTTAGTTCTTCACAAAAGAAGAAAATGAGTAGTTTCTTCAGACTTTTTGTTCTCTGCTAGTGGTGGTTTTACCTTGACAGACGTCTGAACTCCACCATAACCACTCTTTCACTCCTCCTCCTCCGGAGAGGAGGGGAAGAGGAAAAGGAAAGAAACAACACAGGTTGAGATAAGGATAATTTAATTACAGCAAAAGTAATTATTAAAGTAAAATTATTATTAATTAATAATACTAAAGGGAAAAGGGGAAAAAGGGAAACAAAACAAAAATACAAGCAAAGACCGTGTGGAAGTGTGTGGAAGTGCAAATGAAAGAAATTATTCTCTACTTCCCACCAACCATGCTTGACCATGTCCTTGAAGCAGGGCCTCAATACACGTAGCTGTTTTCCGGGAGGACAGACATTGTTTTCACAATGAAAGCTCACCCCTCCTCTCTTCATCTCTTTTCCACCTTTTATTGCTGAGTTTGACATCACATGGTATGGTATATCCCTTTGGTTGGTTTAGGTCAGCTGCCCTGGTGATGTCCCCTCCCCACCTCTTGCCCATCCGCAGCCTGCTGGCTCTAGGGGGGTTAGAGGGAGTGCTGATGCTGTGCCAGCACTGCTCAGCAATAGACACAACACTAGTGTGATACCACTGCTGTTCTAGCTACAAGTGCAGAGCACAGCACTCTATGGGCTGCTGCAGGGAAAGTTACCTACATCCCTGCCAGTCCCAGTACACTGCTAGATTCTTCTTTTTCTATCTGTTAATGAGTCTAAGTATACTTTGATTTTATTTATTTTTTTCAAGTATAGCTGTAAACTGATTGTTACTTTTAACATTTGTTGTTAACAATGCTGTTTTTTGCATTATCTTTCTGATACTCTTGACATACTTATGCTGTTTCTTTTTATTATTATTATTATTTTTTCATTATGTGCCCCTGTGTAAATCCCTTTATGGTACAGACTTATTTCTAAAATCATTGTATCTGTACCATTCTTTTACTGAGATCTTCATGTGATGTGGCCATTCTTGCTCAGGTATAAAATGTTTCTTGTAGACTTATTCTAATGCTTTCTTAGTCTAAAATTATTTTGAAACCAATGTTTGTTCCAACCTTGTATTGTAACCTGCCTCCATGTAAGTTTACTTTATGTAGGTGGAATGAAACAATTTATTAGAATGGCCTCTTACAGACATGCTCATTCAAAGATGCATTTTCTGAATAGAAGTCATGCTTGCTTTAATCTTTTCCATGTCTAATGCGTACAGGTGCTGTGTTGGTTTTATATTGGTAGGCAGCTCTGCACTACTACACTGGTCTCTCACCCCCACTCCTGAGAAGGACAACAGGGGTGAAAATACAATGGTGGGGAAAAAGCTCAAGGGCTGAGATAAGGACAGGGAGATCACTTGTCAATTACTGTCATAAGTAAAACAGGCTCATTGTAGGGAGTTTAATATCCTTCATTGCAAACTGCTAACAGACCAGAGCAGTGAGAATTAAAGCAAACCAAAACCACCTTCCCCCCTATCCTACTCTTCTACCTCCTCCTGAAGAGCTGGTAATGGAGGCTGTGGTTTGATGCTTTGTCACCAGAACTTCATGCTCATTCTCTGACCCTGCTACCCGTGGGGTCCCTCCCGAACTGATCCTGCAGGGGCTGCCCACAGGCACTGTTCCCATATAGCTCCGTCCCACGGGGGATAAGGACGGGGAGATCGCTCAACAATTCTCGTGACGGGCAAAGCAGACTCAGCATAGGGAGATAGTAAGAGTGATTGCCTATTACCAACAAACTAGACACGTGAGAAACAAAGGAAAGAAACCCAAAACGCCTTCTCCCCATCTGCCCTCTTCCACCTCCTCCCCCTTAGCAGCACAGGGAAATGGGGGAATGGGGGCTGCGCTCAGTCCCTGATGCTTTGTCCCCGCCGCTCCCTCAGGCTCCCTCCCTGCCCTGCTCCCCGTGGGGTCCCTCCCACGGGATGCCGTCCTTCCCCAGCTCATCCCACATGGCTGCCCACAGGCAGCAGCTCCTCAAGCACTGCTCCCACACGGCTCCGTCCCACGGGGTCCGTCCATCCATCCCCCAGGAGCAAACTGCTCCAGCACGGGTCCCCCATGGCTGGGCGGCAGCTCCCCCCAGACCCCCTGCTCCTGCGGGGGCTCCTCTCCATGGGCTGCAGCTGCGGCCCGGGGCCTGCTCCTGCGGGGGCTCTCCATGGGCCGCAGCCTCCTCCAGGCCACATCCACCTGCTCCACCGGGGGCTCCTCCACCCACGGGGGGGCTGCAGCGTGGAGATCTGCTCCATGGGGGACCCATGGGCTGCAGGGGGACAGCCTGCCCCACCAGGGGCCTCTCCCTGCACAGCCCGCAGGGGAACTGCTGCTGCCTGCCTGGAGCACCTCCTGCCCTCCTGCTGCACTCCCCTGGGGGGCTGCAGGGCTGCTTCTCCTCTCTTTCTCCCTGGGAAGCAACTTTTTTTTGTTCTTTTTTTTATCCTTTCTTAATTACGCTCTCACAGAGGAACAAGCGACATCGTTTCTTGGCTTGGCTCTGGCCAGCAGTGGAGCCATTATCTAACGTGGGGCAGCTTCTAGATTCTTCTCACGGAAGCCACCCCTATGGCCCCCTGCTACCAAAACCTTGCCACGTAAACCCACCAGAGCAACTCTTTTGGTGAAGAAATTTTTCGTAAGAACCAACCGAAACCTCCCCTGGTACAACTTAAGGTTTTTGGTTCTTGTCTTGTCACTTGGGGCTTGGGAGAAGAGAACGATCCCCACCTCTCTGGAGCCTCCTTTCAGCTTCCTGTAGAGCACAGGAAGGTCTCCCCTGAGCCTCCTTTTCTCCAGGCTGAACAACCCCAGCTCCCTCAGCCGCTCCTCACCAGACTTGTTCTCGAAACCCTTCACAAGCTTCAGAGCCCTTCTCCGGACACGCTCCAGCACCTCGAGGTCTTCGCTGAACACAGTGCTCGAGGTGCGGCCTCACCAGAGCCGAGCACAGAGGGACAACCGCTTCCCTAGTCCTGAGGGCCACTCTATGTCTGATACAAGCCAGCTGTAGAGATATTTAGATGCATAGATATGCAGCACTAGTACATGTTCCTTGGAAAACTGGTCAAACTCTCTTCAAACCCCGTAAACTGATGGTTTCCTCTAACTGGCACTGACGCTTCAGCTGGATCCTCTAAATCCCATGTTACTGCTTCTGCTTCCCAAGCAGGTGACGGAAACTCCTAACCGGAGAGCAGAGGAGTTGTAGTTCTGTCTACAGGCAATATTTGGAAGTTTGGAAGATGCTTCCCTTGCTCAGCTGCCATCCCTACGTTAATCAATCAGCCGATCTTTTGCCTTCCAGCAAAAGTCTCGATGCAGTTCTTAAGGAAAGTTATATCTGAAAATCCTCAGCCACCTCTGTGCACGCCAAACCTTTCATGGCACTGTGCAATGCACGGATGGTAGCGATAAATCAGGTTGTGGAATGAAGGGCAACGTGTGGGGAAGGAATTTTCAGGTGGCTTCGCGCTGCTTCGCAGGTCCCTGAATTAGAGGTAATGAGGAAACAAGCGGGAGAAACAAAACCTTGAGCAAGGCTGAGAGCAAGAATTGGCTACAGTGTTAAAGAGGACCTTTGGGCAGTGGGCAATTGCTGGCTGGCTCCAGGCGCGTGTCTGAGGGTCTCTGACCAACTGTAGGATAGATTCGGGCGCGTGGACAGCACGTGGGGCTACCATGAGAGGACATGTAGGAGTGAAAAAGGGCACTAAACGCCTCCTGTTCCAGAGCCATCAGGAGTCTGTGTCTTGCATCCCTTCAGCAACACAAATATTTGGCTCCAGATCCAAAATGTCATGTATTTGGCAATTTTATTTATGGTAGCACTCCCCTCCCCTCCCCTCCCCTCCCCTCCCCTCCCCTCCCCTCCGTCCGCTCTTTTGCCTCCCCTCCCCTCCCCTCCCCTCTTTTGCCTCCCCTCCCCTCTTTTGCCTCCCCTCCCCTCCCCTCCCCTCCCCTCCCCTATGCTCCCTGTCCCTACACTCTGCTACACTCCCCGCCCCTATCCTACCCTACACTCCCCTAAACTGCCTTGCCCTACACTACCCTATACTCTCCTACACTCCCCGCCCCTATCCTACCCTCCCCTCCCCTACACTCCCCTCCCCTACACTACCCTATACTCTCCTACACTCCCCTTCCCTATCCTACCCTACACTCCCCTACACTCCCTTCCCCTACACTACCCTATACTCTCCTACACTCCCCTCCTCTATCCTACCCTCCCCTCCCCTACACTCCCCTCCCCTACACTACCCTATACTCTCCTACACTCCCCTCCCCTATCCTACCCTACACTCCCCTACACTCCCTTCCCCTACACTACCCTATACTCTCCTACACTCCCCTCCCCTATCCTACCCTACACTCCCCTACACTCCCTTCCCCTACACTACCCTATACTCTCCTACACTCCCCTCCCCTATCCTACCCTACACTCCCCTAAACTCCACTCCCCTACACTACCCTATACTCTCCTACACTCCCCTCCCCTATCCTACCCTACACTCCCCTAAACTCCACTCCCCTACACTACCCTATACTGTCCTACGCTCCCCTCCCCTCTAACACGCTACACTTCGCTATGCTATGCTACACTACCCTATCCTACCCTCCCCATACCTCCCCTACACTATCTTCCCCTGCCCTGCCCTTCCCTCCCTGTCCCTCCCCTCCCCTCCAATTCCCTCCCCACCCCTCCCCTCTCTTTCTTTTATTCCCTCCCCTCCCCTTCCCTCCCCTCCCCTCCCCTCCCCTCTTGTCTTCTTCTCTCCTCTTTTCTTTCTTTCAGGTATCTTCAGATCGCTTCAGTTGTTCTCATAGCTCCTATCCCTGGCTGATTCACGGGAACCCAGCAGCAGCAACCAGAAGCGCTCCAGCTGCTGTGTTACTGGGCGAGCAACAGTCTCCAACTGGCAATCGCTGACTTTGTTCCGTGGCTCGGACAGGTGCCTTGCAGTTCCAGCGTGGCCTGGACGTGTCCTCTTGCTGTGTCCCCACCTACAGCGCAGTTCTGCTTAGAAGCAGCAGCAGGCTTTTGAAGATGTCCCACTCCTTCCATTTTCAATGGGTTAGCTTGGCTAGCCGGGTGGTGTCTGTCAATAGAGACAACAAAGAGATTTGGGTTAGAAACAGCTAACTGAGTAGTTCCTTTGCACAAGGGCAAGGAAGATTTACCCCTTCCTAATGGAGACTGCAGTGTCAGAGAGAACGACAGGTCCTTCCGAGAGCTTGGAAATATCCCCTGGGGATGCTGAGTCCAGAGGAAATCTGTCTAAAGTACACCGTGGAATCGCTCTGGTTTACTTCCGAGCAGAACAGAAGCATGTGTCCGATACGGCTTCAGCTGGTTGCAGTGTTCTTCTTCACCTCACACCTAAAGTAAGATAAGAGGTCTCAATGCAGATGGAAAGATTGAGAAATAGAGAAATCCCTGATGCGCTTTGAGAACTTCTAAGAACTGAGAACTACATCAATCCAATGGTGTAACATTAAGGATCGCTTAGAAAAGTAAACGTTCAAAACAAGGAAAGGAGAAGAACAAGTAAGCTTTCTTAAAGCATCTATTCTATTGAAAGGATCTTTAAATAAGTAAATAAGTAATGAAATATATGCGCAGAGAGATAGATAGATAGATAGACAGACAGAAACCTAAGAAACTGCTGTGCAGGTGAGCTTCTTGCTCTCTTTTCTCAAAGTCCCAGTGAATACAGCATCTGTGTGCGTTACAAGCATTACCCTCAGTCCACCACAGGTACAGACGAGAGGACAGCCTGCAGGTTGCGGAGGCAAAGAAACTGCTCTGGCTGGATGTGAAGAGCCACGACAGAAGTTGCTGTCAGGGAAAAGATACACAGAGGGGATGGATGAAAAACACGGAGTGTGCTTCCGACCTTCACAACTGCTAAGCAAGTGGAGATGAGGGTGTGGAAGAAGCAAATCAGCTGCTGATCGAGAAGCAGCCTGAAGATTGCCCTTAAGCAGGGCCTTGCATTCTTCGTTTTTAGAGCATTGCTTGCCTTCAAGTGCACGATCAGGATTTTATTAACTTTCTCCCACTACAGAACTGCAGCCGATTCCTTCACAAAACTTACAGGTGGGAATTGGAAGTCTTGGTCTGCATTCTCTCTTGCCTTCTTCATCTCAATTCTCTTTTGGCCTGTGAAGCTTTTCGGATCAGAGGAGAAGATCCGCTGTAACACGGAGTTTTGGATACTGCAAAGGAAACGAAGAATCGTACTGACAACTCTTGTCAACCTCACCTGCAACCATCACAGAAGAGAATAGCAAAAGAACCCCGCTTTCTCATGGGAAGCATAAATTTGAGCATAGGTGTCCTCTAGCTGAAGCGAGGTTAAGCAGGTTCCAAACAAGGGGAAGGAGCACACCCAGAAGCATTTCCATAAAGCTGTGTTTTCAGACAAACGGTTTAAAGACTTAGATTTTCTTACAAGTGAAGAATGAAACAAGAAAGAAAGGAAAATTACCTGGACATCCAGTTTTCCTCTAGCTTGCTTTGCTTCTTTCCGAATCTGAGTCTGGAGTGACAGTCAGGGAGCAGCACTGTGCAGAAATGCCAAAGCCTCCCCAGCTTGTTGTACCTTCATCAACAAGGCCTTTGACACTGCCGCCTCCTCAGCAACATCAGCAATTTCCTAGGAAAGCTGGTGTCCACCAGGTCAAATAGGAATGGGAAACCCCTCTTGCCACAGCTTCACACTCACACCAGAGTCGGCAGGACAGGCCGATGGACAGAGAAGTGTCTGTAAGAGTGTTAGAAACCAGACTTTAGATTTCCACCAACCCAGGAAAAATTACTCATCCCTTCAAACTGAACTCTCAGTAGAAGGAGGTGATCCCAAGCTGCATTCCTGACATCTATGCTGCAAAGTCATCGAATGCGCCATGTTACTGTACCAGCCATGTTATGAACAGAAACAGGACTTTGAGGTTATGCTGTTTGAGTAGAATTAAGCTCAAAGAGTTAGTCCTTCGGTATGTTTTTGTCTGCAAGTGTTTTCACTGTCTCCCAGACAATGTCTCCAGCAAGCTAGCTGCTTGTTTCATTTGTTCTGTGCTGTTTTGTTTTCTCAGGAAGGATTCTTAGAGAAATGAGATTAAAGTGATCATCTTGTATGTCCATCCATCCCTCCCTGCCCTTCGCTTGTCCAGAGCTTTTACCTTGTCCAGCAGCTTGAATGAACTCGCTCCTAGGCGCAGTTGTGTCCAAGCCATTCTGTTGCTAGGCGTGTTGTGCAAACAGACAGCTCAGTGGTGGGGAGAGGTCACACTGTCTGCAGTGTGACCTCAGCGCTTACCAAGCAGTAGGGAATACACAGAGAAGGGCGTTAGGAAAACTTCAAGCCCCACATACATTTGAGGTGGAAACCATGTTTCCCAAGATAACACTGGGCACAACGCCATCATCAAAATGTGTTCATTTCTTGGTTCATCCAACTCCTAGGTTTGAGGTTTAATACGTTTCTGTCTTGGCTTAAAGCACTCTTCCAACCTCTCTTTCCAGTTCCTATGATTTCCTGCAATAGCTAATCCCACTTTTCCTTTTGACAATCTCCCAGTCTCTTCTTTTTTACCTCTCCCCAAGAAACTTAGAACTGCTCTCGTCATACTTGACAACTAGATATGGAGCTGTATCAGCCAGAAGGAAGTTTCCTTCACACTTGCTGCTTCTTACGCTACCTGGGCTCTTACCTTTACTCTTACTCGCCCTTCCTACATTAGCACAAAGAAAGCTGCTTTGGAGATCTGACGTCTTGTTTTCCAGAAACTACCCTGAATCACCTTTACAAGAGCTGTCCCACGCTGCGAGCATACGTCTTGCAGTCTGGCCAGATATTTGCCTTCCAAGTCAATAACCAAATCTGTCAAGTTAAGAGCATGGAATTAATGGAGAGGAAATCCTTTTATTTATTTATTTGTTTGTTTGTTTGTTTATTTTCCTAGACCGAGTAGGGATGAATTGTGGGGAACAAGCAAAACTCTGGTGAAAAATGAAATGAAAAATGTTAAGGTGAGGCAGCTTGCCCACTGCAAGTGCTAGCCTGAAAGCAGATGGAGTGCATCTTCATACACCACAGCCTGAGACACTACTCGACAGGCCAGCCCATGTGAGGAAGTCCATTGCTGTCCTGAATTTGAACGTGACAGGGGGACTCCTAAGCCTCTTGTTTATGCTTAACAAAACAAAAAACAAAACAAAAAACACGCATTGTTTTCCTCAGCCATCAACAAAACACTTACAGAAGGGAATGGGCCCTCTCTGCACCTCAAGGGGAGATCCACAAATCCTCGCGTGGTTTCATCACATCCAGCACCCTTCTCTGTGCCTCCCAGCTAAACGTGCACAGAGGCAGCTGTTCCCAAAGTGCTGTGGTGACATCATTCAGGTCTGTTTCTGAAGTCATCACCACAGGCGCCTCGCAATGACAGCACAACACTCCCTGTAGCTAATGCATATGTCTCAGAAACAGCTAGAGAAGTACCACTATGCCCAAACTGACTTTCATTAGAGTAGATCCCAAATTATTCTCTGCTCCCCTACGTCTGCGGAAGGTGTGGGATAAATCTGTTCCTTGAGAAAGGATTACAGGCAAAAAGAGCTTGATTCTGATACGGTGCCCGTACTTGGAGAGCAGTTCACCTTTGATTTCCATGGAAGAAAAGAGAAGGGGAAATCAACAATTCTCTTCCTCCGAGCTGGCAATAGGAAAGAACCCCAATTCTCCAGGAAGCCTTAAGAAGGAAACTATGCATCTCCTTGCTAAACATCTTGTTTCTTCGGAAAACTTTTCCAGTCCTTTGCAACTGCGGTGGTCTGAATCGGGTGGGCAGCCGAGTTCCACCATGGCCGCTCTCTCACTCCCCCTCCTCAAAGGGAAAGGGGGAGAAAATACAGTGCAAAGAGCTCTAGGGCTGAGATAAGGACGGGGAGATCGCTCAACAATTCTCGTGACGGGCAAAGCAGACTCAGCATAGGGAGATAGTAAGAGTTATTGCCTATTACCAACAAACTAGACACGTGAGAAACAAAGGAAAGAAACCCAAAACGCCTTCTCCCCATCTGCCCTCTTCCACCTCCTCCCCCTTAGCAGCACAGGGAAATGGGGGAATGGGGGCTGTGGTCAGTCCCTGATGCTTTGTCCCCGCCGCTCCCTCAGGCTCCCTCCCTGCCCCTGCTCCCCGTGGGGTCCCTCCCACGGGATGCCGTCCTTCCCCAGCTGATCCCACACGGGCTGCCCACAGGCAGCAGCTCCTCAAGCACTGCTCCCACACGGCTCCGTCCCTCAGGGTCCATGGTTGGGCGGCAGCTCCCCCCAGACCCCCTGCTCCTGCGGGGGCTCCTCTCCACGGGCTGCAGCTGTGGCCCGGGGCCTGCTCCTGCGGGGGCTCTCCATGGGCCGCAGCCTCCTCCAGGCCACATCCACCTGCTCCACCGGGGGCTCCTCCACCCACGGGGGGGCTGCAGCGTGGAGATCTGCTCCGTGGGGGACCCATGGGCTGCAGGGGGACAGCCTGCTCCACCGGGGGCCTCTCCCTGCACAGCCCGCAGGGGAACTGCTGCTGCCTGCCTGGAGCACCTCCTGCCCTCCTGCTGCACTCCTCTGGGGGGCTTCAGGGCTGCTTCTCACTCCTCTCTCCCAGCTGTTGTTGCCCAGCAGTCTTTCCCGTTCCTTAAATCTGTTCTCCCAGAAGCCCAACCAACGTCTGTCACTGTTTTGGCTCTTGCCAGCATCAGGTCCCTTTTGGAGCCTGCTGGAGCTGGCTCTCATCTGACATGGGGCAGCTCCTGGGCTCTGCTCACAGAGGCAACCCATGCAGCCCAACTCTCCTACCAAACCCTTGCCATGTAAACCCAGTACAGGGCCTTATTCCTCAAAGGATATTAGCTTTCTAGTTCTCACTGAATTTAGCTGGGTATTTAGGCATTTACAATCATAAATCATTTTAATCACAAACAGAAAAGCTGAATGGACTCAAAAGTGTCAAGGACCAATCATCAATTCTTTTTGTCCGGTCATCAGTCATCATTCTTTGTGCCCAAAGAAGCGCAATGAAGCTGGTGAAGAGTCTGGAGAACAAGTCTTATGAGGACCGGCTGAGGGAGTTGGGGTTTAGCTTGGAAAAAAAAGAAGGCTCAGGGAAGACCTTATTGTACTTTACAATTACCTTAAAGGAGGTTGTGGCAAGGTAGGGATCTGGCTCTTTTCCCAAGCACCAAAGTGATAAGATGAGGGGAAACTGCCTCATATTATGCCAGGAGAGGTTTAGGTTGGATATTAGGATAAATTTCTTTACTAGAAGGGTTGCATGGCATTGGAATAAGCTGCCCAGGGAAGTGGTTGAGTCACCATCCTCTGAGGTCTTCAAGAAATGTGTAGATGTAGAGCTTAGTAGCATTAGTAGACCTTAGTAGGTTTAGTTGTGGAATTGTCAGTACTAGGTTAAAGGTTGGTCTAAATCATCTTAAAGGTATTTTCCAACCTGAACGATTCTATGTTTTTATGATCAACTTTTACCACAAGTCACTTATCAACTTTTAAAGTTGCTTACTAATTTAAGTTCCATTGACTGCAATTGATTTTATATACCTGTCTATGCTGAAGAACCTCTCAGCTTTACTTATGCACAGGTTGTTAAATAAAGTTTTTGTTTGTTTGCTTGTTTGTTTGTTTGTTTTTGTTTGTTTTAAATGAGAATTCTTTGCTTTATTTATGCAGTCATTACTTGAAAGTTGACTTCCTACCTAGATGCACAAAAACTGTGGCAGTGTTGAATGCAGTGCTGAACTCTTCAGAAAATGTCACTAAATTTCCTTGTTGGCTGTAGCTAACACAAAAAGTATTTTTGTATACATCTACTGTGATTACAGTGGTTGTAAAAACCTTTTATATCATGTGTTCTTAAAATCTGATAAACTTACCTGATACTGAAAATGCTACTTACATCACATTGTGAACCCTTTATAGAGAACTTTAATTCAGCCGTGTCAGGCATATTATAGTCTCTAGCAATGACAGATGGCTAGACCATTCATATTTGACAAGACTTCTTTAGTTATGCTAAACTGAATTTTGATTCCTGAGAGGCAGTATCAGTATTGCTGTACTAATTTATTAGACAAGGATAAATTTAAATTTTTATTTTTGTGCAGCTATTTAAAATTTAAAATGATAAAGTCCAAACAAATTAAATTTTAGTGATCACTCTCCAAATGCATAAAAATCTCATAAAATAGTTAGGAAGAGCATTTGGATCTTTTATAACCAGTTAATCTCTATATACATGATCAGTTTTTCATATACTTGTGTCCCCCCGTTGGTACTAGGATATCAAAACTTAAGCTGTGCTCAAAGCTAATGCCATCAGAAAAACTGATTTCCCACAGTACTACAGGCATTGGACTTTTCCTTCCATACTATACTCCTATTAAAGCATAATAAGGTTATATCAGAGCATACACGTTCTTCCATTGGGAACTGTAGTAAATGTTGAAAATCACAGATGAAAGGTATGAAAGAA